CCTGAAATTGACAAGTCACTTTTGGTCATTTTTCCAAAATAAATACTTCTGGTTAAAGTACGTCCCGTTGGCTTCCTAGTTCCGTTTCTGTCCGATAAATTTTGCCGGTTTTCGATTTCTTGTGAAATTCCGCTGTTTTTAAACGTTCTTTAGTTCATAGTTTTGGTGTTTCAGCTGAATTTTCCGTCTTTTTTTGCTTTCTAATACGTTTTTAACTCAGTTTCCCACTTTTTTCCTCTCAGTCAATTTTGCCACTTCAGCGCAAAACTGCGAGAGTTTTCTCTTCTCCGGGATACAGCACTGGCATCGGAATATGGCACTACAGAAGAATTCAGTGGAACAGTTCGCCAAATGAAACTTCCAGGGCCGGTTACCCGCGTGGTCGCCCCTCACTCATACGGTGATTTCACGTACCGGTCGTACGCTTCCTGGGTCGGATCTTCGGCCTCGATTGCGCCATAATTCGCATTTGCAACAGCGGTTTGATTGAATGCATCAGTTAGTTTGCTTTCACCGTGATGCATTGGCAATCCTTGTGGCGCTGAAACAAGACTTTTCATGACTTTTTGTTCGAGCAAAAACACCATGTATTAAAGATATTAATGACAATGACGATAGCAATAATAACAGTAATAATAACAATAATAATAATAATGATAACAATAATGGTAATGATAATAATACACATTATACAAATATAAATATATTTAAATAATCAGATGAACAGGAATGTTTCGGTCGATCAAGTTGTGTATGTAGCTGCATGTATCTATGTGTTTGTACGAATGCGCATTTCCGTGTACATACTTATTTATGTGTGTATTAGGTATATATTTATGCACGTATGTGTTTATGTATGTGTTTATGTATGTGTTTATGTGTGCATGTGCGTATGTATGTATGTGTGGATGGATGTATGTATGTATTATGTGTGTACATATATACGTGTGTGTATGTATGTGTTTGTGTATGTATCTACGTATGTATCTTCAACCTGAGCTCTGAAATTCAGCGGACTTTAGAAATCACAAAAGAGATCAAACTATGAATATAAAATCTCAGGCTTTGAACTCATCCATGTGGCTAAAGCATAAGATTTGTTCTTTTTATATGGATGCTAAAAGGGTAGGATGGACTGGATTCGCCAGATTTCAAAAAATCTTCTCAGACAGACAAATACTATTACGCTCAAAGGCAAAGAACTTTTTGATGTGGAAGAAAAAATAAAATCCATACCAACAGGCATTTCATCGTCCTCGTCAAAATCGTGACTATACTTGACGCTGTCGTATTTGAATACTCGATTCATGCCATAATGCACAGCGAGCACGAGTGCTGCAATCACTGAGTAAATCTGGAACGTCAGACGTGTACCTGGAAAGAAGTGAAATTAATCAAAAAAAGATGACACTTCCTGAAATTCCCTTGAAAATAGTCAACAGAGTTTGTCTTTTAGGGAACAAGTATCGCTTGGGTCGCTTGGGTGTTTCTGGATATCGCTTAAAAACTGCGAAAATGCGGCTAGATCCAGAATCTCCTAATATCCAGCTCATCGTCATCGCTGGCTGGCCAACATGCACTGAAGAATTCGAAGGCACTGAAGAAAGGTACCATTTTTCTCCTTCTCCGTGCAAAAAAACTGCGAGGACTTTTCGTTTTGGATAAGATGCGTTAATGCGCTGAAATATCGGTAAAAGAGAAATGCTGTAGCTAAATGGCGCGAGAACGCAATCTTTTTTTATCAGTAATTCAGTGTGCCACTGTGCTAAGGAATATTTTTAAAAAATTGTGTTTTACTCATATACATAGTAGAAGAGGAGTTTGGATAGCAATTACTAAATGCAATGAAATCTCAGACAGGCAAACATCATCTTATATAAAGGCAGAGCTTTTCTAAACCACCACCTTTTGTACTTTTCTTTACACAAATGGGATACCATTTTTGCAGGAAAAAAAAA